GTAAGAGAGGCTAAAAGAGCTATGACCCACAGGGCTTTCTAAAAAGATCTGAATTTTATTTTAATCTAAATGTATTAATCGTTGAAGCAATGGTTCCTAACCAATGAGTTTTGGACCCCAGAGGGCCTGTGTGGTTATTTCAGGGGGTCCTTAAATCCCTCTGTTCATACATATTTTCTTAGTCAAAGGTTCTAAAACTGTCGATTATATCATGTGAAAGTACATGGAATATTTAAATATGCTATAAAGGTGTCTATGTAAAAGAAAATCTTGAGAATCACTGAACTTTAAAAAATCCTTAATATTACTCAGCCATAAAAGAGAATGAAATAATGCTATTTGCAGCAACAGGGATGCACCTAGAAATTACCATACCAAGTGAAGTTAAGTCAGAGAAAGACAGATATTATATGATATCACTTATATGTGGAATCTAAAAAAAATAGTACAAATGAATTTATTTACAAAACAGAAACAGACTCACAGACATAGAAAACAAACTTATGGTTACCAAAGGGAAAGCAGGGGTGGGATAAATTGGGGGGTATGGGATTAACAGATGCACACTACCATATATAAAATAGATAAGCAACAAGGTTTTACTGTATATAGCACAGAGAACTTGATCCAGTATCTTGTAATAAACTGTATGGAAAAGAAATGAAAAAAAGTTTATAGATATATACATATATAAATATATGTATAACCGAATCACTTTGTTGTATGCCTGAAACTAACACAATATTGTAAATTAGCTATACTTCAATTAAAAAAAAATCCTTATTGACTGGAAAATAAGAAAGATTGATGCTTCTGATAAGGCTAAGGGCTAGGAACTCAGAGGAAAAAGTTAAATATGTGTTTTGTAGACTCTTTTTCCAAGTGCCCAAGAACAAAATGAAGGATAATAACAATGATGATGAAACTGATAGCTAACATTTTGGGGGCACTTACTATGTGCCAAACACAGTCCTAAGTCCCTTATGTATAATAAAGCATTTAACACATACAACAACTCTTTGAGATAGGTGCTACGTTATCCTGTTTACAGATGAGAATCTGAGGTTCAGGAAGAAAGCTAAGACACAGAGAGATTAAAGGGTTACATAGCTAGCAGACAGTGGAGACCTGTTTTGAATATTCAGTCTGATTTTCATACCCATGTTCCTAATCACTAAAGGTGTAGGAAAAAAATTCTCTTCCTCTTAATTTCTGGATAGTGTCAAAATGTATTTTCAACATGTCGTAAAGCTAAAATGCTAAAGTTAATATACACAAGGGCTGGTTAATATAATGAGGGATAGAGGCACATGCACAAACAATTCAGCCCTGGCTCACTTTGTTGTATTGAACTGGGTTTTGATTGAATCCAGATTTTGCTGGATTATGCCAGGTTAGGCAATGTTACATATTACTGCCCAAAGCAGTCAAGAAGACATGTTCACTTTTAAGCTATGTGTGTGTGCTTATTTAAATTTAAAAAGTAAAAATAAATATTAGATGCTTTTCCTAGTTTAATAAATATGATGATAAAGGTATAAATTTAAAAATATATTAAAATACCTCAAGGACCTTTATAAGTATTCTAATATAAATAAAATACATGTGACTTTTATTCAGAAAGTTGGTTAAAATATTCTTCTTTCCCTCTTTAAAATCCCTTGCTGTATGCTGATCTATATGTGTTTGTATGTTTCTTAATGATGATTGTGCCTAAGTGATGCCAATTATGTGTATGTGAGATTAAGCAAGATTCATTTTAGCTTTTAAATTACAGGCAGGACCTCATCATTGACCAAAACAATCTGGACTTTTCTTAGATTTGAGTTCCCCTCAGTGCCTCTTTCCTTAGTTCTCTTATAGATGCCTGGTTGCAAAATGCCCAGTTGGCAAGTAGATTAAATACGATAAAATTTTTTAACTCAGGGCTCAAAACTTCTGAAATAGACATGCCTTTTGGTATATTTAACACATTTGGCAACTACCTCATATGCTCCAGGACTTCTTTAACAGGATAACCAGGATAATGATAAACAGCGATTCTCATTAACACCATGTGGCTAATCCTGATGCGTGATCTCTGTTTCCCCTGCATCTCTAGGGAACAAAGCCTGTGGCCATGAGCCAGTGACACAGTGTGAAGACTTAGTGACCTCCTCATATGCTAATACAAGCAGTACTGGCTCACCAGTATTAAAATGGCCTTATATAGTCTATACTGCCAACTAATCATTCTAATGATCTAATTGACATTCTTTTTTACTATATGTAAACAATGTAAATGAATAAGACAGATTGCCACATGATTCAAAGATATAATATAAAGTCTAGATCAGAAAGTAAGGTATAAATACCTTCTCTAAGATCAAAGATCTAAGCATACCTCTTGATTTCTTTGCTTACTATCTCCTTACCCAATTTATAGGAAAATCCTTTGAGCTGTCTATGCTCATCCGTTATTCAGCCAAGGCCAAGTAAAGCTAATTTTACAGGCTTGATCTCCCCTTAAAACATTGATGCCTTGTAGACCTGTTGGCCATGGTCATATTATCATGTCTAAAATTTCTTGATTCTTGGGAAAAGGAGAAGGAAATTCAAGGGAAAGGAAGGCATGCATCTCTCACGTGTTATCCTGAGCCTACCCTAGAAATGACATTGGAGGTAAAAAAGGCTTTCATGTGTCAAGCCTCAGCTGCATTCTTAGCTCCGTAAATGACCTCCCTTTCCAAACCTCAAGTCCAGAAGTGCCTGTGTATATAATGGGAGCAACACCGCAGGCCAAAATCCATTGAAATCCATAAAAATCACCATTACCCTCAATTGCAGCAAGTGGTTTTCATTCATCAGTAACAACCACCACAAAAACAGTAATAATTGTCACTATTTATTGAGAATTTATTATACCCTTAATGAAATTAAGCTCTTGATCTATCTACTAATGGTCCTTTCTCAGTAAATGGTACCCTCCCTGTCGATCATGTTGGATATGTGAGCATCATCTTTATGTATCTTTCTGTCTTGACCTGCATATCCAACCAGTTACTAAGTCTGCCCTTTCCCAAACTCCCCATAGTGCAGTCAGTCTCATCTTATGAAAATGCAAACCTGATTGTGTTATCCACACCTAAAACCCTTTAGTGGCTTCTTCTTCTTCTACTTAAGGAAGAAAAGTCTTCCCTTGGTATAAGATCTGGCCCTGTCTCTCTGATCAACCTCACCCTCCCTCTTCCAGGTCCTTCTGCTGCAATCACAGTAGTCTTTTCCCTATTCTTATTCACCAAGCTTTTCTCATCATTGGACCACTGTGTAAACTGTGCTTTTACCTGGAACCCTCTGCCTGACTCTCGTTGCCCATTCTAACTCCTTCATGTCTTAAATATCGGTTCCTCGAGGAGGCCCAATTTCCCCCAGACTATGTTAGATGCTCCTTTTCTCTCTGATTTGTACTTTTACTTTCATTCTAGAACCTACGTAATATTAATTGCGTGATTCTTTGTATGATTTGTGTTATCGAAGATTTAATGCCTGGAAATAATGGAGAACTTTAAGTCAGAAGAACTAAACTCTACTTATAGTTCTGTCATTTATGGTAGTATAATCTTGGGCAAATTGTGTTCACTTTTGTTGATTCTCAGACTTATCTCTAAAATTAATTTATTCATTTATCTAACAAATACTTCTTATGCATCTACTCTAGACCAAACATTATAATGTTTAGGTTGTAGTGATGAACAAAATGGATTTTGATGCTGCATTCAAGGAACTTATATTTTAGTAGGGGATACATATTTGTTAAATGTTCATATAACTACATAGCTATAAATTCTGATAAGTGCTGTAAAGGAAAATTAAAGGGATATAGGAATACTTAAAGAATAATATTCACTTGTGAGTGAATATTATTTTTAATCTATTTTACAGATGATGAAATGAGACACAGAGCCAGTCACAGTCACACAGAGTCACACAGCTACTAGGTTGTAAAATCAGTTTCTGAAACCAAGCAGCCTGGCACGAAAGCCGTTGCTGTTAATCTACCATGCTTATTACCTGCTGCAGGATGGGGTGAGATTGGAATAAGAATAGTTCAGAAATCAGTAAAGGGACAGCTGAAAAATAGTCACAAACTTTATTGGACATTTGTTTTACCTTTGTAGGTGCTGTATTTGGGAGAGGTGTCAGGCAGCTAACTAGATCCAGAAGCAAAAGGAAAGGTTTCCCTTTCAAAGTAACTTAAGGATAATTAATACATCTCTTCACTAATGTGAATTCAATAAATGAGTTTTAAAATTAACATTATTTACATTATTTGAGCAGGCAAGAGAGACCAATACATCATGTTTTACATATAAACACAGTATACAAACATACAAGTTTCATTTTTACATTCCCTGTAGCACTGACATTTCAGTTGTTGAAATGAAGGCTACCATGTAATGGAACCCCGAAATGAAACAGCATCACCACCATGAGTTTTCTTCTAAACGTCAGCCTGCTACTACATTAATACTGAGCAGTAAGTTATTTAAAGCATTTACATTTCCAAAGTTTCATTATTATTTTTATTTTTTGCCTAGATGATAAAAAGGAAACTATTTACTGCTAAGATTTATGCAATTTTTTGAATTTTTATTTAAATATTATAAATATGCCAGTAGAGTTTCTGGCAGTGGTGAAATTTTAAGAGTAGGAATAAAGTAAAATAAACAAGTTGCATCTCTTTGCACACCTGTTAAATTTTTTTAAAAATCATAAGGTTTTCTGTACAGCTCTGACAAGGAAAATTGAGCAGCAAATATCCTTTTATTTGGATTTTATGACTAGTTGAAGGATATTTAGAAGTTAATGGCATACATGCTTTATTTCTTTAAAATATACATAGTCTTAATGTATTCACTGAATCTACAAATTTTTATTGCTTCATAAAATGATTTTCTGTGACATTTTTATATTTAATGTATTAAATATATTTAAATTGCCTTTATCATAATTTAATTTTA